CTTAATTATTTACTTACTTACTTACTTACTTACTTACTTACTTACTTACTGACTGACTTACTTACTTCATTATTTACTGACTTACTTACTCAATTACTTACTAACTGACTGACCAACTGAGTTACTTACTTATTCACTTACTTACTTACTTACCTACCTACTTTATTAATTACTTACTTACTTACTGACTGACTGACTGACTTACTTCCTTCCTTCCTTCCTTACTTACTTACTGACTGACTGACTTACCTACTTACGTACTTCCCTCCTTCCTTCCTTCCTTACTTACTTACTTACTTACTGAGTTACTTACTTACTTACTTACTGACTGACTGACTGACTGACTGACTGACTGACTGACTTACTTACCTACTTACTTACTTACTTACTTACTTACTTACTTACTTACTTATTTACTTACTTACTTACTTACTTACTTACTTACTTACTTACTTACTTACGCCTGTTACCCCACGTGGACGAGGATAAGACACCCACCATCAATCGTGTTGACAAGATTTTCTCAATTAGGCCTAGAATAATTTCATTTATCTTAATTCTAATTCATTGATTGTCAGGTTAATGTATATCTTTATTCATAACAAAATAATAAAACAACAAACAAAGAGGTTTTGTTTTCGTGCGTGAAGTCAACAAATTCTGGATTTGAATCTTGTAAGGTGGGATTATGAATGTGCACTACTGAAGAGTCCCACAACAAGACGAAACAACCATTTAGTACTTTCAGATTTTTCATGATAGTGTAACTTCAATTGAATCATGATTTCAACTATTGAAATAAAGAAGTATCATTAAGTGATTTCAATGACTCATGTGATTTAATTAAAAATTTTAATTTATTAAAATGACATTTTTCTTAAAAATTTGTGAGATCTATGCAACAAACGAAAAAAAATGTTATACTCATATTTTTCTTTTACAAATTATCACCATAGCAACAATCCCATAATAATATCATGTTGTCATGTTTACAATTTAGTATAGATTACCCATGTTACATTGATTTGTAACTATGTATGTGTAGATTATACGATGTTTACATCATATAATCTACCAAATTATTCTTGTTTATAGTTATTAAGAAATATTTAACATTGACTTCATCTTTATGTAAATGTTTAAATGATTGTATATAAGTGATTGAGTAACATTTATATGTGGATTATGAGAAAGTATTGGAATCTAGGATATGAGTTTCGTCTTATTTAGGACTCGTCATCTGGATGTTCACTTCAGGACTTGAACTTAGTAGAGTTCACTTCAAACTATATTGTGTAATCCACTTACTTACTAAGTTCTGATAGTTACATGGTTGTACTATAGGGGGAATATGTAGGTGGAATTTCAGTAAAATACATATTTATACCATGACTGATAGTTTGCATTTAGGAAGTATGAATTATGATTTTGAAACATGGAAAAAATTCACTTGAAATTTTTGATGAAGCAGTCGATCATATAATTTACGTTTGATGTAAACCAGGAACATTTAAGTGGATAAAAGCATTTCAAGTAAAATTCTGGTATAACAATTGGTCGACTAGGATAGAAAAACGCGACTATTAAGTCTATGTGGGAGGAAAACCTGATTCATACGTCCTCTTCGTGCTTCCTGGATAGTGGGATTCAGTCTCATGAACTAACGTGAGTGGCAACCCCGGTGGTAGAGATCGACCGATACCCCCAAACTGATGACGAAACCTAAAAAGAATCACAGCAAAAATGACAAAAGAATTCGCAAAAGTGGTGTATGGAATGAACGGGGTTGCTTCCTACGTGCCAAACTCTAAAAACAGCTATTCTAGCCACAATAGTTGTGCTGTGCTTCTATATGGCCTGTTTCTCTCCAGAAGAGCCTACTAGGCTTCACCAACTTGTTTGACTGGAAGGGGAAGATTAGGTTTATGCGTGAAATTGAAATATCAAGGATCTGAAGCAGAAGAAATATTTTTGTTATATCCCTATCGATTAATTACATCATGTGACACTGTGATATATGCTACTGATATCGACAGATATAAGTAGTATGTATCATCAATCGAAAGTGAAATGTCTGTTAGCAGAATGTTAAGAAGACTGAAGAGAAGAGAGCGAGAACAGAGAATGATTGATGTGGAAACAACGGAACAATCAAGTGTTAGACAATTGATCGACATTTTGTAAATGGAGTATTTAGTATGTTGTACTCAGATTTTACTAAGTGATTCTGTAATATTGTGTGTTTGTTTTTTCTCACTTGTGTCCTCGTTCACTACAATACAACCTCTAGTTAGAGACACCGATTTATACAACCAGATTAATATTGCATTAACCTACATCAACACCCTAGAGTTCTCATTGGTCCACCAAGATAACAGCTTCTCACCTAAACCAACTGAATCAGTTCAGAACGTCAATATTAGCCTCCTTAATGCGAATCGTATATTTTAAACATATTGAGTTGATATACAGATCAAACAGACCACATCTCTTCACAAAATAAGAAACAACATTTGTACATAATCTAGCTGAAAGTGGCTGTAAATGTAGGAGACTGTAATTAACTCTTTATACTTAACTCGTAACCCGAACTTGGACTATTAAGGGTTTGAAAAGATGGATGATCTAAAACTTTAAGGAAGAGTGTTGGAGAGATGCAGGAAATCCCTAGCAAACAAAGCCAACATAAGCTCTGAAAACACTGTGAAACATCTTATCCAATCAGTATTCAATAGAAGTGTTACCAGAAACATCTAGAAAGCAGAAAGTTCCCTATAATGTTTCTGATTGAAAGATTACGTTCCAGAAATTTTCAAAGACCCAAGGTCAGCTAAAATACTATACAAACCCTGAATGTTCTGTACATAAACGAACTTTTGGAGTAAAGCGTTTTCCTTCATATTTCAAGCCTTTTCTCTCATGTTCAAGTCGCTGTGTAGATTTAACCTGGAGGTTACTAGATAACGAACCTAGCACTCAATTAAAAGACTTATGGAAAAATTTAAATGCGTTGTTGTTTCTTCTCCCCATGGAAGACTTCTAGAACCATCAAATATTTAAAATCTGTCAAAAATTCATAGTATTATTGTTTTCTTTCACATAATTTATCTGATTACAAAGGGTTTATTTCAGTTAGCTAGATAATTAACCGCAGTCGTTTAAAGCTGATCCCTATACATTAACATTGTTGAATGTCGGCTAGCTCAACGGTCTAGAGATTAAGCGTTTGCGCACGAGACCAATAAATCCTAGGTTCGGATAAGGCGGGCAGGATGTTGGATGCGCACTGCTGAGATTCCTGAACAATGAACATCCACAATCCGGCATACGCGACTCATGAGAGATCGAATATTCCAGGTTCGAGTCCCTTTATAAAATATTGATACTCGACAAAGATATGAAGTACAATTTTTATCGAAAACATGAACCAATTTAAATTAGATCATCGTTGAAAACCTGTAAGCAATGGATGACCGTTTCAACATATAGAACTTGCACATGATCGAAAGTCCAAGATTCAAGTCCATCATCATACCAGATCATGGATGCTCACTCTTCAGAAGTCTCATACTACGATGATACTGTCATCCAGTGCTTCAAGGTTTTAAAAAAATGATCTCGTTTAGATTCATTCATCTTCTCAGATCTTTCTGAAATATCAATACAACATAAGATAATCAGTATTAACTCATATAGTGTAATATCTATTGTAGTGAACAAGAACACCAGAGGGGACAAACGAATGTATTTGACACAAAATTACGGGACTTGTTAATAAAATCGAACAATCATAAAGTAAGCGCTTAATTTGCAAAATGTCTATCGATTGTCTCAAAATGACTCAGAATTCATTGTTCCTGCATTTTCATACAAATTGCATCATGTTTCCATTCTTTACTGTTTGATCCTCTTGTCTCTTTGCTGACAGACCTTCTATTGACGACTAACATCATCTACTACTTATGTCAATATTAGTAGCACACACCACAGTCGTTCACCCTTTAAAGCAGTCGTTCTTGCGGTGGTTCATGCTCGCCATGCCACATTCTTTGTCTTTGCAGTTTGTGCTACGCTCTCTGTCAAAATGTCGAGTCTGCAGCACTTTGACATCCATAGCTCTGTCCATCTGTCGGGGTAACAAAGTCCGACATCCACCCGGCACCTGGGACGCTTAACACTCGTATTCCACCGGCCTGACGATCCTTCTACATCCGATTTCCGCCTAGCAACCGCACGTCCCACCGCTCCTCTCCGTTGACAGCACCCGCTACAGTCAAATCCGCCCCGCCAGAACACTCCACTCTGCGTCACCCCTACGCATCAGACTGCTCCAACTAGCACCTGAGCTCCAGGTCCGCAACGGCATCCGCAGAACAGCCTTCTACTCCTGCTGATTGGTAGCGACACCAAATGTAGTGAACAGAACACGGGTTGGGACAATCGAATCTAGTTAACACAAAATTACAGAACCCGTTAATAAAATCTAACAATCAAATAGTAAATACGTAATTTGCAAAATGTTTATCACTCAAACTTCATTGTTCTTGCTTTTTTCATACAAATTGCATTATGTTTCGATTCTTGATTATTCGATCCTCTTGTCTCTTTGTTGCCAGACCTTCTTATTGACAATTAACATCATCTACTACTTATGTCAATATAAGTAGCACACACACCACACTATCAACTATTTATGTCGATTTAAATAAATGAAAGAAAAAGAAAAGAAAAGAATATACATAAGTCACAGATTATTATTAATATTGACATTATCAGTAGTCTATAAATTGTATTTAATCATATGCGTCATCTTATATATATATATATATATAATCTAATGAATAAATTGTTACTGCCTAGCAACTATATACATGTTACTATGCCAATTTATCTTTTTCATTTTTTTTAAAAAAATTTCATCGAATTATTAATGAATAAATTAATCATTTGTTTCTAATCACATGACAATGGATCGATAATAACAGTGAGTATAAGACTACATATATTTAAGCTGGAAAATGATGACATTCGTAGTCATATTGTTATTGTAGCATTATTGAAGTAATACAGTTAGCTTTAAATTAATTAGATATATTGAACATGAGGGGGAATTACATCATTTTATATATTTATATGATTCTATTTATATTATTCAATGAGATTAATGCTAGTGGAAGTAAGTTATTGTATGATTACACTTTGTTCATGTTGGATAGTTTGTCTGTTACTCCCCCGTTTCTCTCAATGAAGAATAGGCCACCGATCAGCATTCTTCGATTTACTCTGTTCTCAGTCTTCTTTTGTAGTTCAATCCAATTGTTGTTTATTCTTTTAATGTCTGTTTATAATTCGTGGTGTAATGTGTTGTTTGGTTTTTCACTTCTTCTTTGGTATTGAGAATTCCATGTGAGGAGTTGCGTTATGACACAGTTGGGCTGCTTTCCTCAATGTGTGTTCTATTCACTTACAGTTCTTCTTATTGATTTCTTTATCTACTGGAATCCAGTATTTGTTCGCTCCCTGTCATAACTTGTTAATGTATAACGTGATGGTCCATCAATTAGAGAATAGTGATTCACCGATCGGACCAATGACGCCTAAAACCCATGCGAGCAGTCTAGAGTACTTATTGGTCCTACTTCCTGCTTAACTCAGCCAGTTACGTCCAGAACACCAATCTCAGAGTCTGAAATATAAATCATTTTTTTCAAACATACTGGGTTTATATACCAACCAGATAGACCACATCGTACCAATGAGATAGGAAGCAACATTTGTACAAGATTTAGCCAAATGTGGCTGTGAATATTGGAGGTAGTGACTAATAGACAGGGAAAAATTCATGAATGGAAAAATTGTATAATAACAGTTTATAGGTTAAAATAAAGCTTATGATAAGAGAGTTATGAATAGGTTAGTTATTTAACAATTATACGCATATTATTGGTCCATAAATGGATCCCAAAAGTTACCATTAATTATGCTTATTGGAACATAACACTCCCACTGTAGGTTGTTGTTGATTGTGTCTGGCGCACACAACGTTTCATAAACACTTGTATCGTCTGGATGATGACTTTCATAGTTCACCAAATTTCTACCTCATACAGCAGAACTATCTTGATATCTTTGTATTGAATATTCTGATTTTGATGTTGGTTGACAGATGTTCTTCAGTTGTAGATATGCTGCTCTTACTTTGCTAATCTGCACCCTCACATCTGCATCAGATCCACTGTGTTCATTAAAATAGATATTTGATAGATGGATATTCAAATTCAACTTCATTGGTTAAGTTTGTTTTAAAACATCATACTATTGATATTGAGGACTAAATCTTGATTGAAGCTAACGGTTGAGTGGATTCTAATCTCATCATTATTAAGGTGTAGATACATTTGTCTGATGACTGTTAAACAAGGTATATTTAATTGGTTTTGGAACTTCCATGAAGTAGGTTGAAAAGGTTTCATATGAAGAGGAACAGGTATTAAATATCAGTATGGGGTTATGGAGATTGTTAAGTTTGTGATTGAAATCATAAATATTAGACGAAACATCCGTCTATTGCTTCCAGGATTTAAATGACGGTCTTAGATTCATTGATTCATGATCTCAATCAGATGTGAATACTGTTTCTTTGTATAATGTTGATTAGTTACTTACAGTCTATACAGTCTACACTAAACACACTTTCGTTTTGAGATGATATCACTTCAGTTTTAAGTTTAATGGAGTTAAATAGTGTTCTACGTAAATGTACGTTATTATTTTCGGCACAATCATCTTTTTGAATTATTATTCATTTCTGGTTATCGTTTTTTTAGCGAGTTAGTTTTCTGCAGAATAGGGTCGCTAACTCTTTGCCTAACACTCCTCCTTTATCTGGGCTTGAGACCGGCAGTAGTTTAAGAGGGACTACGGGCGGCGTTACAGTCATCATTACAAGTATTAATATTAGCATACTGTATTGATAAGCCACTTAATCACAAGTATATAGTAGCTTGAGGAACTGTGTTATTTTCCAAGTAAATTTATTACATTAAAAGAAGCTTTTCTTTTGATATAGCTTCAGAGAATAGTTCCTATTTATCAGGAAAATGAATTTTAACAGTTGAGATCATGAGTTATTTGAAGCGAGACCATCATGGAAAGCCTGGAAGCAATGGACGACTGTTTCGTCTTATTGTGAGACTCCTCGACAATGCGCATCCACGATCCCACCTCATGAGACCCGAACCCAGAACCTATCAGTTTTGTGCGTAAACGCTTAACCTCTAGACCACTAATTTTCTTTCAGCAATGATCTCCGGATACAATGAAATGCTGTTATGAACTATCATTCTTTACAGTACTTCATAAAAAATATAATTCTATTTATTATTTTCTATAGTTATGTTTGATAATAAGGCATTACTAGTCCTGAATATAATCCAATGACTAGATTATCAAGCTCTCACCTGGTAACAATCCCAACGATTATTACCTGCAATGCTTATTGGCTAATTGGAAAGGAACTTAGTTGTAAACATTGTCTTATTATGTAATAAGTGACAGGTAATTGAATATAATACAACTTGATTCTGAATTACATTCGACAGTTCTACCCAGTCTGTTGTGAGATAGTACCTCACTGATGAAGACATCGGTGGATGTGTCACTCAGTATCGTGGATTAGCTCAAGTTAGACATTAACACCGTTAAATGCCGGCCAGATCAATGTTCCAGAGTTTAATTGATCGCGCGCGAGACTAATAGGTCCTGGGTTGGAATCCCGCGAGTTAAGATTATGGATATGCACTGCTGAAGAGTCATACGACAGGACGAAACAGCCATAAAGTGATTCCAGGTCTCCTATGGTGATCTAGCTTCAATTAACTCATGATCTCAACTATTCAAATTACATGTAATGAATTGTGAAGCACAGATTAATACTGTTGAAACACACATAGTTCGTTCATGATTCTATTAGACTGTTATAAGTATGTCACAAACATCACATAATGTAACTTGAAATAACAAAAAAAACATTGTTGACCATTGTTTTACATTGATTCTTACTGTATTTCATAGACATTAATCAATCTTTTAAATTTCTATGTAATCTATTACAGGAACACCAAGTAAGTTTGTTATTATTTTTGTTAGTACCTCTGATATAATTGAATGGATAATAGTGTGTTATTGTTTATTTATTTAAACACATAAACAATGGTACAAGGAGGTACCAAATAGATTTGTGTGAAGGCTGAGATACTAGCCGGGTGCTCAAAACAATGTAGGTGGTTTTCTTAGGGGGGCCACGCACGAAACTTTCATCTTAAAGGTCTGATCCACAAGACAATGGAGCAATATCAGGAGATGCAGTCTCATGACAGCCGGTGACCAACAATATGTACATATGCCATTTGTTTCCTTAGGATCCTGGAGCTCATATACACCATCGGTTTGGAATCAGTATTTACCAACTCTACTGGGTGGATCCACCGTATCCACCAAAACGGTTAGAGCAGCAGACATTCGCTTTTCGCACTCTCGTTTTGGTACATAACACCCCCGCCGCACGAAGGTAGTGAGTAAGACTTCCCTTTCAGTGGTTGCATGGATGTGGCCATGTGAGAGAGAGAGCTAAGTTTCTCACTCTCGGCCGTGCCAAGGCACTTTGGGGGGAAATTTTAATGTTCAGTTTACGTTTATTTCACTTTTAAAAGGATAATTTATTCAGTGTAAACACTAACAAATGGAGCTTTAAGAGAGTTGATGGTGGGACTACAATTTATGTACTACCTTTCAGCAATACTAAATTAACCTTGAGAGTATCCACCTACTTATTAGATCTAAATGATGGTTATGTAGCTATGTGAACAATAAAGATTATGATTTACAGTTGATGGTTAGTTTTAAAGATTAGTTTTAGGGTTTTCATTACGAATCGACATCAACCGAAACGCTATTTAGCCATAATGGTTGAATGAATTTTGCGCCAAAATCAAAGAATTGTTATCTTAAATCTGATTGGTTCGTTCTCGCCATTTCGTCTGTGATAGAATTAACTTATCATGATGGTACTTAATATTGAAGTTAGCTATAAGAATATAGTTTTGAAGACATCGGTGATTTAGGAATCTCGGAATGTGGACAACAGGTAAATTAGGATGAGGAAATGGATACCTCTAGATAATTCAAGACTCTATGTCTCTATGTTAGGCTATATTAAGGCTGTCAGTTCAGTTTCAACTAATAGGAGTTCTATACTAACATAAAACAACTGTCGAATACATCGCAGTGATAATCAGTCCATGATATAAACTATCAGTTCGAATAATCTCCACTAATCTATACTAAGAAATTGTTTGCATTGAATCTATGCATGTTTATCACTAAAAAATTACCTATTAGCTTTGTTTTTCAATTGCTAAATGATACAGAATCTCAATTAATAAAACACAATGTTCTCTCCTGTGTATAATAGTGATGTTTTTTTACTTAGTTACGGTTTCAGTTGTGTTTAGGTTGGTTAAGCCAAATCCAGTGAAGTCATTTGGTTTTTCTGGAAATGGATTTCGTTTAGCAAGGCTTACAAATCCATCACGTGGATGTGAATCTGTAATAAGATTGTGACCTTCAAGTAATAACACGAGGCCGCTACACCAGGGGCAAGTATAATCTACATGCATACCGGTAACACATAAGTTTTCACCCGTAGCTTCTTTGGCATGCATATAAGTATACTCAACGTGGAAGCAAATATACGTTACATAATTACTGATGACACTGTCACTTACACATTGCATGCATATTACTGGTGCAATGTCTTTCACCCTTGCCCTTCATGACATACACATTAGCATAAGCACTTTCTCAGGGAGGGTTAACGGTTACCTCTTTCTAGTATTTGTTATAATATCTTTTTATTATCTTCGACTTGATGGTTTAGACCTCTGATTTTATTAGACATAGGGCATACATATTTTTCAAATCACATATCCTATAGGTATATCTACATATATTAATCACATGAGCCGAAAGTCATGCAATTTATATACATAAGCATATACATCAGACAGCTCTGAAAAATGGAACCCACCTAATCTGATTTACAAAAGAGTGATGGATTAGTCTGATCTCCACCAACCGTCAAAGTTCGCTAGAGAGATTTCTCCTATTACTCAGTAGCTCCGCGATAAGACTTTAGGTCAGATTTTTCAACGCCTACTTACTTAAAAAAGTAACCAGGACTGGATCGATGTAACCTGTATTATGTTTTTAAAATGATTTGTTTTAGAATTTGTAAACGTAGATGAAGGTGAGTATTAACCTTTTTTGTCAGTTAATTAATTACTAAATATTTATAAGTTATGTCATGATAGCATAGATAAAATCATGGATATATACCGCTGAGGAGTCCTTCACTAGGACGAAACATCCGTCCAGTACTTTTAGATTTTTCATGATGATCCAGCTTAGATCGAATAGTGAATTCAGATGTGAACATACTACGATCCTTTTCAAATCTTCAAACCAGTTTGTGTTAAAAAAGAATTGATGATAAAGACGTCAGTAATTCAGTCAGCTGCAACGTAGGACCAGTTACATATATGCACCGATCCAAGTTGCCATACCTCATTAGAACAACACGATAAACACCGGATTCATAGAATTAGTTAATTCAAGGGTGGTAATATATAAGTGAAAGATTGTGTATAAGGATACAGTACAGGAGGCAATTTTCATCTCATAGTTTAAGGGAAGACAGAGAGTGTATACGCCGACCCCATTGCGATAGATTCTAAGCCATGTCACTCCGAGTTTCCAACCATTGGTTACGATAGTTACACCAACCCAAACCAAATATTCTGCACCTATCAACATGGCTCACACTAGAAGTTGGTGACTTCAATTACTGATGCCACGTTTTGGTTTGTCCGTCCCTTACTTTCTCCAAACCATCCCCAACATTAGTTAGCATTACGCGTCGTGGTAATCGCAGTTCAGGCATACGCAACACGTGGCCTAACCAGTCAATGAATATTCACAACCTCATCAACCAATTTACCATCCTTGCTAATACTGTGCGTCTAACCTTAATATTACTTACCCTTTGACCCTTACTGCCGTCATACCTCTGTACAGTCAGCAGTACTACTTAACCCTCAGACCTTGGGTTTGTTGCTTTTAGTCTAACCGTTCTTTAACCGATCGATTTTTCCAGCCATTATAGCCCGATAGGATCATCACGATAGACAAGCCTGACCACCACATCAGTGAAGCTGAAACAGTCGGATCATACTGTCTTTAACTTAACGAAGTTCATGTGCAGATGGTTATTCCAGGAAGTAAATAAACTAATCATGTTCTATTAAAACTGAAGAACTGATAATGTAGTCAATGAAGACTACAATACAGTAAACCAGTTAATTGTATTTAGCACAATGTAAACAAGGCATAAAACAAGCCATCTACATAACTTCCTTAAACTGCATCTGACAAACTTGATTGTTTATTCATTCCTGTTGTCATTCTCTCTCTCTCTCGCCATAATGTTTCTTCTGTGTCTGTAAGAATGCTACTTTCAATTCCTGGTACATACTACTTATATCTATTTATATAAGTAGTACATATCGCAATAAGCTTGTTATATCCTAATGTATATTGTTAGATTTAACTAAATGATTTCGTTTGTTTTACTATTACTACAGATGGTAATTTAAGAGGTGAAACAACAGATGTTACGTAGGTTTCCAATTATTTATAATGATGATGAATTGTATGTTTCTTTGAGTAGTATTTGTATCATTCCATTGATGTTTAGGACTGCAATTGTTCAGTCTCTTATTGGTATATATGTATACTATGCGTATTGACTTGATATTGCCTTCAGTCATAAGCGTTATAAGTAGTGATGGATGGTGGTGACTAGTAGTGGAATCTAGGACATATGTTTCGTTCCATTTTGGTACTCGTCTTAGAGTTGATATTTACTCTGGGACTCGAACTCAGTACCATTCGCTTGGAACGCCATCATATTATTCACTTAACTAATGAGTCATGTTAGCCACTTGCTTGTTCAATTCATTTGGTATTGTTTACTTGAATTTTCCCATTCATGTTTAGAACTGCAATTGACCATCAGTCTTCTATTTGCATATGTGCATCCTATGCAGATTATCTTGATACTGTCTTAATGTACACGTCATTATCTATAATTCCTATCAATAAGATGATTATCAGGAAAAGACTTAATTGATGTTGTGGTATATGTTACTAATCTCGATAGATATAAGTAGTATGTATCATCAATCGAATGTGAAAGGCCTGGAGACAAAAGGTTAAGAAGATTGAAGAGAAGAGAATAACAACAGAGAATGATTGGTTTGAAACTGAAGTATTTATCGTATGGTTTTCGGATTTTATTAAGTCGTTTTATACTTATGTATCTCAATACATTTCGCTGTCCCCCCCCCTCAATGGTATTCTCCTTCACTACAATATAAGTTATCCATCATTGCTAATTGTATTAGAAGAAAAAATAACTTTGGATGCATACTGATTTCGATTTCTTTAGACAATAACACTAGATTGTATAGTTATTTATCTGACTGTTGGGAAACCCTAATGTCTACAGGTATGCACTAAGAACAAGTGTGATCATGACTTGCTACATCTATTGGGACAAGATATAATATTTCTGGAATCATATCCCTAGCTGTTTTGAACTCAGTTATCGAATTATTCAATATGGCCATCAATCTTCCTTCATTAGTCATTCGGCTTTTATGTAGAATGATTTTAATAGAAAGTTTCTTATATTATCCAATCATGCTGTAGTTGATAATTAAGTTGCCATGACTTTTAAAGTTACAAGTTGTTATAACTTGTTCCCTGTGTCCTATTAATGTATCATTTGATGATACCGCCAATTAGAGAACAATGATTTATCGACCCAACCAATGACGCACAAAACCTATATGAGCAGTCTAGAGTCGTTGTGGGTTCTTTTTCCTACCTAGTTCTGCCTGTTAAGTCCAGAACACCAATCTTAGCCTCTACGATATGGATCATTTATTTCAAGCCTACTGGGTTTATATACCAACCAGACAAACCACATCGTATCATAAAATAGGAAATAACATTTGTGCAAGATGTAGCCAAAAGTGGCTGTGAATGCGGGAGGTAATGATTAAGAGACAGGGAATAATTCAAGAATGGTAATGATAATCCATGGGTCGAATAGAAGCTTATAATAAGTTTAGTTATTTAACCATTACATTACATAGTTATTTTGCTGACGCATGTTACTCCCAGTGGAGCATAGACCGCCAACCAACATTCACCAACCCACTATGTCGTGAACCTTCCTTTCTAGTTCTATCCAATTCTTGTTCATTCTTCTTATGTCTGTCTCCATTTCTCTGCATAATGTGTTCTTTGGTCTACCCCTTCTCCTTTGGCCTTGAAGATTCCATAATAATCTATGGGTCAAATGGAATCTTATAATAAGAGGAACATGAATGTGAATAGTTTATGACAAACATGACAAGCATCTGACTACTGGTAGGATCAACCAGTTTATTCATAGTTATATAATATACCCTTGTGGGTCAGAATAATTTTACATTGGATTTCAGGAGAACCAGACACCATCCAAACTCTCACGTGACAACCTAAACAGTACAACTCAATCCCGTTTAACAGGAGAACCAGACATTATATAGGCTTTAACAATACAATCTGACGCAAACACACAGGTACCAAGCGCCCTGATGGACCATTCGCACCATTCATATATACATTAACACGACATCTATAGTTCTAGATCTAACCAAAATGTGGCTATGAATGTGAAAGACTGTAATTAATAGACTGAACATAACTCAAGAACAGTACATCATATAATAATAATCAATGAGTCAAAATAAAGCTTATTATAAGAGGAACATGAATATACGGTTATTTTAGCTCATTAACAATTATACAATAAAAATAAATGTATCTTACTAATCCAGAAATAGATTCTAACAGTTACCATTCATTATTCTTATTGGGATATCATATAAATAACTTCTGAAGAGTAAACATAATGAAATGACGAAACTTCATTATTTGTTTGTTTGTATGTTTGTATTTTGTTTATATGCAACTTACTATTTATAAAATTGTATTCATGGTAAATGGTCAATCAAATTTCATTTGTAAATGTGAATGATTGATTTACATAGTAACTAATTGTACATAGAAAAAAATCATCATCATCATCATCATAAGATCCACATGTTACTCGTCAATTCATAAAGTCAATCATCCCCCTATTAGATAATAGATGAAGAAAACCTACACAAGAATTTTGTAAAAACAAAAAAAAAAACTAAAAAAAATGTTTTTCTATTTAAATTGTATCCAGGTGAAAAGGAAACTAGACTAATTGAGTAAAATCTTATTTAATAATAGATTGAAAATATAAATGACAGATAAGTAACAAACTATGATGAATGTAAAGTTAGTAACTATGATGAATGAATGTAATAAGAGAATGTTATCATAGAAGTCAATTTGTAAATAGAATAGTAATTTATAAGTAAAGATGGATAGTGACTAGCAGTGGAATCCAGTTTGACGCGCATTTCGTCCTGTTTGGGACTCGTCAGCTAGATGTACCTGCATCTCAGAGTCGATGTGCACTGTGGGACTCGAACCCAGTACCATTCGCTTCAAACGCCATCGCGTTATCCACTCAGCTACTGAGTCCTGATAGCCACTTGCTTGCGCAATGGGGCGAATTTGAATTCACTTGGCATGGTCTGATTTGTATCTTCCCATTGAGGTTATATGTTTTATGTTTTATGCAATACATATCTATGGTTTCATTCAGTGTTCCAACTAAAATTGAGCTTCTAAACAGTCATTGGTGTATATGGGCTCTAGTATCGGAAGGGAACAAATAGTGTATGAATGTAGTGTTAATCATCGGTTAGTATGAGACTACACCTCTTAACGTTGTTCATCTACCTTGTGGATTAGACCTATAAATGAAGAACTTAAAGAGTGGATCCCTAAGAAAAACCACTTGTATTCGGTTTGAGCACTCGGGCAGTATCTTAGCCCTCACACAAATTGAATAGTAAAGTGTTATCCACTTACTTACTTATTTACTCCTGTGACCTCAAATGGGGCATATTCCATCGACCAACCCATTCTGTCCTGGGCTTTCCTTTCTAATTCTATCCAATTGTTGTTCATTTTTCTTATATCTGTCCTCATTACTCGGCGTAATGTGTGCTTTGTTCTTCCTCATCTCCTTTGGTATTCAGGATTCCAAGTGAGGGTTTGCCTTGTCATGCAGTTGGGTGGTTTCCTCTACGTGTGTCTTAAAAAGTTCCAGTGTTTCTTTATGATTAGCTCCTCCTCTGGAATCCGGTGTGTTATCTCACACAGTAGGTTGTTGTTGTTGATAGTTTCTCGCCAACGGATCGGAAGTATTTCGCGTCGACAACTATTAATAAACAGTTGTATGTTCTGGATGTTAGCTTTTATAGTTCTCCAAGTTTCTATTTCATTTGTTTTGAAAATTCTGACTTTGGTCTTAGCTGACATTTGTTTTGAGTTCCAGATGTTTTTCAGTTGCAGATATGCAGCACTTGGTTTGGCAATCCGTAATTTCACATCTGCATCAGATCCACCGGGTTCATCAATAGTGCTACCCAGATACATAATAGATTTTACATCATTAAAAGATGCTTTTTCAAGCGTGATTTGACTGGTGCTGTATCGAGGAATCTTGCCTTTCTCTTTGTTTATGTTGAGACCTACTGCTGCCGAGGCTGATGCTACACTGGTCGTGTACTCTACCATTTGTAGTTGTGTGTGATAAAAGATCCAGATCATCTGCGAAATCTAGATCGTCCAGCTGCATTCTAGCTTTCCATTGTATCCCGTGCTTCCTTCAGATGTTAACTCTTTCATAATCCACTTGATCACCAGAAGAAAAAGAAAGGGTGAGAGTAAGTAACCTTGCCTGACACTCGTCCTTACTCGAAATGAACCTGTCCTCCATGCGCCACTTCGAAATGTAGTCCATCATATGAATTCCAAGTGATGTTGACAATTTTCTCAGGTACACCATAAGGTTTCCATAAGATTTTCCTATTCAAGCTGTCAAACGTTTTCTCGTAGTCAACGAAGTTGATGTAGAATTCTGAATTCCATTCAACTGATTGTTCTACAATGATGTGTAGTGTTGTGATTTGGTTGCTGCACGATCTATCCTTAAGGAATCCAGTCTGTTTATCACAAAGTTTCGCATCTACGGTATCCTTCATTCTGTTTAACAACACTCTGCTGAAGACTCTTCCTGGTGTTGAGAGAAGAGTAATTCCCATGTTGTTCTTCCACTTGCTGAGATCGCCTGTCTTTGATATCTTGATCGGGTGTCCTTTTTTCCATTCTGTTCGTACTTGTTGTTAATCCTAAATCATGCAGAAGAGAAAGTTGAATATCTTTGCACTTACTGCCACTTCTGCATTTAGTGCATCTGCTCGAATGTCGTCTGGTCTCTTCGGTTTACCGTTCTTGATTTGTCTGATAGTCATGCTGATCTCTTCAATTGTCAGTGCGCCAACATTGGTTTTGAGGCTCGTGGGTGCTACTTCGATGTTGGGTGGGTTCAGTGAGGCTGGTAGATTCAAGAGTTCTTTACAGTGCTCTACTCACTTATTTCATAGTTCCTCAATGTTGGTGATTTCTTTGCCTTCCATACTTTTCACTGGTTAAAGTGTGGCATGAAGATATTTAGTGCCTTCTACGGAAATACATTCAATTTTTAACTATCATTATATACTACTTATATGAATTTAAGTAGCTCACATCATAAATCCAGCATTTGTAATGAAACCTTTTAGAGTATTTCTAGATTTTAAATTATACATATTTATCTTCAAGAATCTTAATGAGTTTAATTTTAACTCAAATTCATTGAGAAATTATTTTCTTATTCAGTAAGATATTTGATGAAAAAAAGTAAGTATATTCAAAATGGATTCGATTTTTCTGATCTGGATCATCTTTTCATTCAATATTATCAAAGGTTTTACAACTTGAACTGTTCTACAAGTTATTGATTGTATATAATCTATTACTTATTTGCGTCTGTTACTCCTCGTGGAGGAGCATAGGATACCCACCAGGACAATATGTAATCTATGCTCAAACGTATTCAAATGATAATATGTAGACTTTGTGTGACAAATCCACGTTGTTTTTTTTGCAAATTATATATACATTCCTAAGGAGAGATGGATGGTAGCTAGAAGTGAAACTAAAGACGCATGTTTCGTTCTATTTGGAACTCGTCAGATGGATGCATATGCATCTCAGAGTTGATGTTCACTCCAGTACCCTTCACTCTAAACGTCATCACGTTATTCAGTTAACTATTGAGTTCAAATAACCACCAACTTGTGAAGTTTGTTTGTACCTTCGCTACAATGATCAATCTTCTATTGACATATATGAATTGTGTGTGGGTCACCTTGATATTACATTCAATTAATCTCGATCCTAAACTTCAATAAGAAGATTCAAACAATCTTTCTACATTGAATGAATGATTCTGTTTTTTCCTTCGTTTTTTTGAAAATAGCACTTGTATATTGCTATAGCTAATGGTAAACATTTTCATTAAATGGACACCTATTGAGCCGATGTTAGGAGGTGTACATAATTTACATCCTATAGAATAATCAGAATTCGAGTGTATACTGAAAACAAAAACCAATGGATAGTCAAAGAAGTGTTTCTATGGATAATATAGTAATTTAATACTTGAATTCTTGAGTCAATTGAAGCTAGACCACTATTGAAAACCTGGAAGCACTGCACGGCCGTTTCGTCATATCATGGAACTCCTGAGCAGTGCGCATTTACGATGCCACCGCGCGAAACTGAAACCCAGTATCTATCTATCTTGCGCAAGAACGCTTAACCACTAGATCACTGAGTCGACATAAAATGGTGTTAATGTCGAACTTCAACTATTCCACAAAATTGAGTGACACATTCATCATTGTCTTTAGTGAGTAACCATCTTCACTGATCACTGCTTCTCACTAGAACTCCATGAAATACATCTTCAATCCAGTCACTAGTAAGTAAATGATGATTATAATCAGAGAAAGGTTTTTGTGGAGATTGTGGCAATTTAATAATTGAATTCATGGATCATGGATACGCACTGTTGAAAAGTCCGATACTAGGATGAAACGACCGTCCAGTGCTTTCAGGTTTTCCATGGTGGTCTAGCTTCAACTGATTCATATATTAAACTATTACATTAGTAAATTGATATATACTAGATATGAGAAAGCATAAGAGAAATAATATCATGTTTCAATGATTGTTGTTCATAAACGAAGTTCCAGGCAAATACTTTCATCTTTTAGTGTCTTTACATCAAAATATAATTTGATAAGAAAAATTTGGATATATCAATATCTTTACTGAGAATTCGCAGAGATTGTATCATTTTCAAAGTTGAATTCACAAGTCGATCTAAGCTAGACCATTAGTGAAAACCTGGAACCACTGGATGACCGTTTCTTCCTAGTATCAGACTCCTCATCAATACCTAGCTACGATCCCTCGGGCGGATCGATTGATCTAACTTAGATATTAACACTATTGGATGCTAAATCAGTGGTTTAGAAGTTAGACGTTCATATATGAAACCGAACGTCCTGAGTTTTAGTCTCACATTCAGGATCGTGCCTGTTCACCGTTGAAGAGTACGATGATAGGACGAAATGACCATCTAGTGGTTCCAGGTTTTCAATGGCAGTCTAGCTTAGATTGACTCGTGAATTCCACTTTGAAAAACATCAATATTTAACAAGATATTGAGAAATATTGAATCTATTTTATTACTCAATATCGACATTGCCCAGTGTGTAAATTGATATATGACTTTCTTTATCAATGTTATCTATGAATGTAAACTTTGATTATATATGTATGTTTTGTAGAACATTAGGTTCAGCATTCGTGTGAGTATTATGTCATACATTATAAATTATCTAATCAATGTTTGTATTACATAACTAAGTGTTTTCCCAATGGTTTATTGATAAACATTCTATTTCGGGACTAACTTCATATAGGGGTTTACAACTATGATTCAATCATTTTGTTAGTTCTAAAGTTTTGAAAATGTTTTCAATTATGTATTTCTATATTGAAGTAAAGTTTGTGTAAATGACGAACGTTTGGTATTGCTAATCAAAGATAGAACAGGAAATAAGGTTAAAGAGATTCTTTTAAAAAAGGATATTTTCAGTTCCTGGAACTTAGGTATTCATCATAGTCTTATTTGCTTACTTACGACTGTAATCCCCAATGAAGGATAGGCCATTGTTTTATCACAGTTTATAGTGAATGTATTTCTGGAGGTCATAATGTTGATAGTCTCTTCATATTACACATACTTAATTATGCTACATTACATTATTAGATACATTCAAGATTTGTTCAAGTGTATCACATCGGTTCATTGATGACAGTCAGTCAAGTTGACATACCGCATCAGCACAACCAGATGAACACCGGATTTATAAAAGTAGTTAATTCAATGATGGTAATATATAAAAGAAGGATTGCATAAAAGGATACAGTACAGGATGAAAGAATTAGTACGTAGAAAGAAAGATATGAAGTGATTTTAATCTCATGGTTGAAGGGAAGAAAGGAAGTATATACACCGTAGCCATTGTCATCGATTCTGAGTCATATCACCCAGAATCTTCAACCGTTGGTTACGATACTCACATGGACCCCAAACTAGTAGTCTGCATCTACCAACATGGCTCAGATTAGAAGTTAATGACTTCAAGCACTAATGCCACGTTTTGGTTTGTTCGTTCCTAACTTTCTTCCAACCATCCCCAAAACCGGTTTGCATTGCGCTATTATTATTTGACTTAAATCTTCCAAAGTTAGAGCGTTGAACGTTATTTCTGGCTTATTAAGTAAACCTTTTAATAACTAGAATGATAATTGAGAGGAATTAACAAAAAAATCTTAGTTAACGAAATATGATATTTCAATACTTATTCAACTATTTCACTGAATCATTGATCAAGTATCCATGGTGAGACTATAATTTATAGACAACCTTTGAGCAACGCTAACATGACCTTGAAAATGTTCACCTAGTAATTAGGACTAAACAAGGGTTATAAAGAAATGTGAGGAATTAGACTTATGATTTACTGTTGATGATTAGGATTAGAAATTCGATTTCAGATTTTCATTACGAACTGACATCAGCTATCATGTCAAATAGCATAAAAGTTCATTTTCTTGTTGTTATATTATCAGTTTCTTTTTCTATAGATTGTAGAATCTTCGTTGTTAAGTGACAAACTGATCTTAACCAGGCCAATATTGAAAATGAGAGAGGAGAAGGTAGATGTTTCAGTTTAGTATAGGATTCCTAAGTAGTACATATCCATGACCCTACCAGTAATCAATCTCAGGACTATTATTAATGTTCAGTTCATACCATCTCTATATTTGATGGTGAATCGTGTATTTATTATACTGTGATATAGTCTATGTATTATATTTGGCATCAACTGAGTATTCAGTTAAGCGGTAACAGAGTCTCGGTTAACGGTCCTATAACCGTATAATAGTAGTAGAATGAAGTAAACCATAGAATATAGTTTTATTCTCCTGTTATATGACAATAATGAATAGATAGCAAATTAATCGATAAAATTTGATTAGATAGTTTGATGAGACTATAATTGATGGATGACCTCTGAGCGACTCCAGACTGACCTTGACAGTATCCACCTAGTAACTAAGACTAAAGGAAAGTTATAAACCATTTTGAGGAATGATAATTGTAATTTTCAATTGATGATGAGAGTTAGAAATTAGATTTCGCCGTTCTCATCATGAATTGACAACAGCTGAATGAACCAATGAATTTCGCGCCAAAATTCCATGACCTCTAATCTTAAATTTGATTGGTTCATCCATAAATTATAGTCTCATTATATCTATTTTATATTGAATTTATTATTTAACTTCACTATTAAACTGATTTCTATTTGAAGTACACTGTTTTATCAATTATGGTAAGTTAAAAAAGTTTTTTTTAATTTTTTAATTTTACCACTTAACCTTATGTGGGTATTCTAGTCATTTTTAATAGATGAAATCTTGAGTTCATTGAAGGTAGACTACCACGGAGAAACCTGGGAGCACTAGACGACCGTTTCGTCTTATTGTAGAACTTCTCATCAGTGCACATCCATAATCACACATCGTAAGATTCGATTCCAGAATCTATCGATCTCGCATGCAAATGTTTTCACTTTAGATCAATGAATCAGCATCTAAAATGATATTAATGTCTAACTTCAATTAATTCATGAAATTATGCCATCGTTCATCATTATCTTCAATAACTTACTATCTCACAACAGACTCAGTTGAACTTTACTGATTACTACTTCTTACTAGAACTCTAAGAAATACTTCTTGAAGCCAGTCATTAGTTAGCATGTGATGAATATTATCAGAAAGGGGTTTTGTAGATATTATAGTTATTTTTTTTAATAATTGAGATCGTGAGTTAATTGAAAGTACTAGACGGTGGTTTCATCCTACTATGAGTTTCGTCAGTTAAAGACAAATGAAATGGGGTATTATGTTGAGATATTTATTGTTTATTAAAGTAATTTGTCATTGATCAAATAAGCATTTAAGTTTCAACTTCTTGTATCTATGATAAAAGTACTTTCAAATGTTCATTCATTTGTTTTCATTCGTTACGTAATATATTACATAAATGTTTTAGTATGAATTATGCAGTTAATTGATCATTGAATAATGAACGATGTCATAAGTGTTTAGCTGAGGGTGGGGACAGTCAGCTCCTCTCCATTTCAAAACGCTCTCATATGGCCACGCGTATATAGTCACCTCCAGGGAAGTCCTACTGATTGCTTTCTCATGACAGGGATGTTGTTTACGAAAATAAGTGGGCGAAAAGCGAACAACCTAGCCTTTAACTAAGTTGATGGACATGGAGGGTTCACCTAAAGAACTGAAAAGCCCTCATTTCAAACTCCAGGATCGTGAATGAACGAATGGAGTATGAACCAAGTATTAATAAACGGTCAACATGGGACTGCATCTCCTTACATTGCTCCACTGCCTTGTGGATCAGACTTTTAGGTCTAAGGCTCCAGGTGTGGCCTGCTAGGAAAACCACCTGCTTAGGTCTAGGCATCCAGGCAACATCACAACTCACACACAAATCAAGTGACTTCTATAGTGCATATGTATTCGATGCCCTCTTTCTACCAATACCTACATGTTCAAATAAATTAATTAATATGAGTTTTAGTAATTCATACTACAATACCGCAAAAAAATTTAATTTCCTTGCATAGGTAACTTGACGGCCTGATATGTTCAGACAGTTTAGGCAACATTATAGTAAACAAGAACATGAAATGTATTACAACACATAATTAATCGTTTCAGACTAAACTGTTCCTTCGTTCCCACATCATTCATTCACTGTTCTCGTTCTCTTTACTTTCATTTTGGTTATTCTTCTACTGTTATACATTTCACTTTCCATTAATGATACATACTACTTATATCTATCAACATCAATAAAATATATACCGCAACATACCAGAAAAATAACACATTTCTTAATGGAATTCTTCAGCAATATTCAGTATCATGTGGAGGCCCATTATTTTGTTGTCGTTTAAATCGGACAATGTTGTCAAAAGGTCTCTCCACTTTAGCGGCCAGTGGATCTGACTCCAATTAGATGAATGTTTATTATTGCCTATTCTCGTATATAATCATCGACTTAAATCGCGTTAGTCAATATTACGGATTTAGATAAGTCAAATAACGAGAATGGACTTTTGAATACCTATATTTTGTATATGAAGCAAATGGAATAGAGGGAACAGAAACAACGAACAGTGGAGATGGCGGGTAAGCCAACTCTCCTTTAACCAAGCGTTAATCAATAGTTATAGTTACACAACAGTAAGTTACAGACATGTGATGAGTAATGAGATAAAAAGTGTACACACACCTACGCGCTCATATAAAAACAGTCAAGATTGATGAAGTGAATAATTAAAAAGGTCAAAATGTGACTCAAATGGAGAATGAATAGAATGGGTTGTCCAAATGCTAGAATAAGGTATATGGGTTTAACATAATAACCGACACTGCAAATCCTCATCATTATCTATGTTGTTAGGTAACCGACTTAAAACAATTTAGATCTTCCGACAAATTTCAGCTAATTTAATCCATATTTAAAACTTTATCTTTTCTTTAATAACAAAATTTTTAAAAAAAAACGAAAAAAAATTATTTTTTTAATATTTTTTTCGGTTATTTTTTTCATTTTTAGGTATTTATTAAAACAAGGATTGGGGTTACCATGACAACTTAGAAAAATCAATAAAATCACTTTTGTTTCTATGACATTTTATTATTCTTTTTTTTTCGTTTTTTTTCTTTTTATCTTTTTCTTTATTTTTATTTTCATCAAGATATGAATTTTGTGCAAATGGATTATTATTTTTATCAGTCAAATTGATTTTGACAAGATTCTTTCGATGATAATCAGTTTTGTTTTGTTCTATTCTGTTGAAATTGAATCATCATTAAAGTAATTTCATTTTGGTAATTAATACTTATGATTTATTCAATGAGTAGTCAATAGTTTGAAGGATTATGATGATGAACTGATTGATGTTAGATTACTATTGAAAATCTGGTAACAGTGAATGACTGTTTCGTCCTGTTGTGGGACTCCTCAGTAGTGTGCATCTACTATCTTGCTCACTCAGCATAACTACATCACTGAGATGGCATTCAATCGTGTTCATGTTTAACCTCAAACAATTTACGAGATTGCCTGACCATCGTCAATTGTACTGAGGTAGATACTAATCTCTACCTCAAACCGAAGGTCTTGAGTTCAAATCCGACGGACGGGACCATGCATGGGTACTGCTTGGTAGTCCGACAATAGGATAAAACGGCTGTCCAGTACTTTCAGGTTTTCAATGGTGGTCTAACATCAATCGGTTCATGATCTCTATCAATAACTTAATAATCTCTATAACCCTATAGTCAAATTATGTAATGGTTTACATTTACATACATATGGACTATCTATTGTCATGTCCGATTCAACAATTAGATCCGAATCCATATGTGTTAAATTCAGAACCTTTGATACATCATTCACTGGTATAAATATCATTGTAATGAACAAGAACTTTATGGTTCCTTTATCATCATAACGATTATTCTGTGTATGTCATTCTCTTTTCAACTTGATCTTCTGTAGTGAATAGGAACACAAGTGAGAGCAATCGAACATCTTTGTTAAATCTAAGAACCATATAGTAAGGGTGTAAAAGATTTTGTAACTCAGCTGGATAATTTCGATGAACTTTTGTTCTCTGATCTGAATGGTTTGATCATGGAGGTTTTATCGTTCTACTGAAGAAGTAAATTCTTCATTTGTAAAATGTTCATAAATCTTCTCAAATTAGACTGTTACATTTTGCAAATATCAGTTAATGGTCTCAGATTTCATTGTTCCTATATTTTCATATCAATTGATTTCCGTTCTCATCGTTTCCTTGTCGATCTTCTACTGAAATACATTCTATTCCTGAATATCATTATATACTACTTATGTGGATATAAGTAGCTCACACTACATTTCACTTCTCATTGATGATACATACTATTTATATCTATCGAAAACGTCAATAACATACACCACATTGCTTAACTGTATGGATGAATGCATAAACATAATACATGTGATTTAGTGGAAAGCAAATAACTTCATTAAGTTGAATCAAGTGTCAATCATTTACCATTATAACTGTGATGAATTCCTGTAGATTAGATATATTTCGGAGGGGGGGGGAGAGGTGACTATTAGTAAATACAGTCTACTATCGTTTATTGATCATGCAAGTGATAGTCTCTAATTTCCATGTAAACTATTCTCAGATAAAAATATTGTTTATGTTATATGAATGATGTCATGGAATTTAGAATAGAAAGATTCGTTGAACATTAATGGATTGTTTTCAATAAATTGAGTTTATGAAGGACGATGTTTCTTTGATCATCGTTGTAATCGATCTATTGATTAAATATGTATTTACTTACTTACTTACTTACTTACTTACTTACTTACTTATTTACTTACTTATTTACTTACTTACTTACTTACTTACTTACTTATTTACTTACTTACTTACTTACTTACTTACTTACTTACTTACTTACTTACTTACTTACTTACTTACTTACTTACTTACTTACTTACTTACTTAAACGCATAAACAATGGTACAAAAAGGTACTCGTGTGCCCAAACTGAAGTAGGTGGCTAATTTTGGGTGTCACACCCTGTGATAGCCCAAAGCCGACAATCAGAAGCAGCGAATTATCAATCGGACCGAGGACGCGTAAAACACATGCGAGCAGTCAAGAGTTCTGATTGATCCTGCTTTCCACCTAGCCCAGCCAGTTAAGTCCAGAACACTAATCCGAGCCTCTGCAATATGAATCATTTTATTTCAAACATACTGAGTTTATGTACCAATCAAACAGACCACAACGTACCAACACACTCGGAGCCTTTAACATAAAGGCCTAAGTCACAAGGTGGTAAACGGTGACCAATAATTGGTTCATACTCCATGTGTTCCTTCAGGATACCGTAGCTCATGTACACCATTGGTTTGGAATCAAGGTTTTTCAACTCTACTAGGTGGACTCTCCGTTTCCACCAACACGGTTAAAGCGTCGGACATTCGCCTTTCCTCTCTATTTCCTAAACAACAGTAATGCCGCGAGACGTCAGTGAGTAGGACTTCCCTGACAGTGGTCGTATACACATGGTCAGGTGAGAGCATTTGCGGAGGGAGAGCTGACTCTTTTCACTCTCAGCCGTACCAGGGCATTCGCGGGATATATATTTATCCTAAATATATTTTTGTGGCCGATTATCTGACTTCAGTTACATTGTAGGATGACTACTATCAAAATTTATATTTCGCCAATCCTTGTACATCATCATCGACTTCAATCGCAATAATGAGTAAATAAACCAAGTACGAGATTGAAGTTTGAATGCGTATATTTCGTACAATAGTTGATCGGAAAACGAAGCAAAACAAAATGATGCTCAATAGCGTAGCTGAGTGAGCCAACTCCATTAAGCCAAACATGAATCAACATTTATAGTCAGACAAAAATAAGTTACAGACATGTGATGAATAGGGTAAGTCATACACGCACACATGATTATATAAAACCAATCAGGGTTAATAAGTGAATAAGTAACAAGGTCAAAATGTAGCTTAAGAAGAATAAGTAAATTGGTCTGTTTGAAAGTTAGAATAAGCTATGTGGGATTGATAAAGTAACCGAGACTACAGTATCCTTTGATTACGTAGCCAATTATTTCATTGTACTTTTTAAATCTATGTATTACTGTGAGTTATAATTCTTAATATTGTTTCTTTGTCGTATTATATTTCGTCTCACTATGATACTCAGTTACATTTCACCAACGAGATACATACAATTTTCGTTTCTGATAACTTTATACTACTTATGAGTAATAAAAAACAGACTTGCAATATAATTGATTCATTCCCTTAGTGTTGTTTACTTGTATCTTCTTATTGGTATTTAGGACCGCAATTGATCAATCTCTTATTGGCATATATGCACACTATGCGTATTGCCTTGATATTGCATTCAGTCACAAGCATTATAAGTAGAGATGGATCGTGGCTAGTAGTGGAATCTAGGAAGCACGTTTCGTCCTATTTTGGACTCGTCAACTGGATGTACAGCTAGATGTGCATCCTTCTTTGCTTATAAAGCTTGTGATTTAAGGTGATATCAAGGCAGCAAGTACAGGTTGCACATATGCCAACAAAAGACTGATCAATTTCAATCCTAAATAACAATGGGAAGATACAAGTAAAAAACACCAACTGAATAATAACTTCACTCCATGTGACTATCACGACTCAGTATCTAATTGTATAATGCGATGGAATTTTAAGCGAATAGTACTGGGTTGGAATCTCAGAATAAACACCAAACATGAGTTGCAGTTACATCCAGCTGACAAGTCCCAAATAGAATGAAACATGGATCCTGGATTCTTCTGCTAGCCCCTATTGATTCGTTTTTATTCATAAATCTTGTAAACCTTACTTTACTGGGCATAAGTCCTTTTTATACTGAGGCTATTTCAAATCAATAACAGTTAGAGTGCACTGAAAATCTTATTAAATAGAAAGAGATTAGAGTTTGCTTGTAGGATCCTTTCATCAAATCGTTCGTAAAATCATCATCCTTTAGCTTAATTTAATTGTTATTCATGTGAGATCAGTTGATTTTCTATTCATTATTCGAATAAATCAGATAAATACCACAACTTTTGATCGAAATCTCTGAAAGTTCATTGAAATTCTTCTACTGAGCGTCTTTTTGCCAGTCAGTTTTTTTCTACGCGATAGGATCACTAATCTTATACCCAACCCCCCTCCTTTATACGGGCTTGGGATCGGCAGTAGTTCCAGATGGGCTCCAAGAGGAGTTCAATGAAATCTTTATCTAACCTTATTTGTTCTTTGATCGTAGTGAATTGGAAACATTCGAAACCGATGAATGATACCTGAAGTTTGAGGATTTAATTTCAAAATATGTCAGTGGTACACTAATCAAAGTTCCTTATCTAACAGATGATGACAGCTATTATATGTCAAGAACAATAGGAGACAATATTAAACAACAACATTTATTTACAGTCCATATATCTTTGGATCTCATTATGGAACGTCTTCTTGAATCATATTGTTTTTGAGTATTAGGTAAGACTATAATTTATGAACGACTTATGAGCAACACTGAAATGATCTTGGAATGTCCACTGAATTATCAGGGTTAAACGAGGGTTAGAGTTAAATCATCAGTTATAATATCAAAATGATATTTAACCAAATAAGCTAATGAATTTCGCGCCAAAATTCAAGACGGGCTATCTTAAACCGAATTGACTCGTCCATAAATTATAGCCTCGATGAGTATTATTATCATCAGTAATGACATATGGTAAGGGAAGATGTGATTTACCTACAATTGTAAGTTGACAAATTAATCTATACAATGATAGAGCTCAGTTTAAACATCACTTCGGTTTTAAAAACTGGTTAATTCTTTTGTTTAATTTGGACAGTGATATGAAAACACAAAGTTCAAGTATACCACATTGTTTTGATAGACTTCATCATCTCGTTATGATATTTTAGTATTCGAATTTATGAGTCAATTGAAGTTAGACCACCATGGAAAACCTGAAAGTACTGAATGATTGTTTCATCCTAGCACAGGACTTCTTAGCAGTGCGTATCCAGGATCCCGCTCGCAGGATCCGAAACCACATTTTATCGGTCTTGCGTGCGAACACATAACCTCTAAATTACTAAACCGGTATCCGATAATGTTAATGTCTAACTTCAACCAATTCTCAAAATTGCGTCATCGTCCACCATTGTCTATCTCACAACAGATCTTGTTGAACTCCCATATCAGATCGAAACGGTCATTCAGTGCTTTCAGGTTTTACATGATG